AACAAGGCAATCAATGCGGGCAGCTCCGTTTTTTTATTCTTTCCATCACTCTCCCCGTTTCCACACCAGCCGTACAAGGTGTTCCACCGAGGCCTCAGCCAGAGGAGCTCTGGAGACCCTTCCTGGCCGCTCACAACCTGGTCAGATTCCCCCCCCACACACACACACACACACACACGGTCAGTCGGAAAGAGGACACTATCACTCTCCCCGTTTCCACACCAGCCGTACAAGGTGTTCCACCGAGGCCTCAGCCAGAGGAGCTCTGGAGACCCTTCCTGGCCGCTCACAACCTGGTCAGATTCCCCCCCCACACACACACCCGGTCAGTCGGAAAGAGGGCACCGAAGAAGGTCGGGAACTGGGCTGGAACTGGGCTGATGGAGAGACTTGCCCCTCTCCCCTGTGTGTCCAGGGGAGGGATGTGTGTGGGTGCGCACACTCACTGAAATGCAGCTCTCTGCTCCTCCTCCTCCCCCCCCTTCCCCTGGGAAAAAGGCCTAACTCTACCCTGGGCAGGAGGGGGAGGCTGGTGCCTCCTCCCCCCTGCGGCACCTGCAGCTACCTTGCATTCCCACCCCCACCCCACCCCCAGGACGCCTTTCTCTGCATCTCCTGCTGGGCGCGCACCCCCTGGTGCAGGAGTCTTCAGACCACGAGGGCCGGGCATCCTCTCAGGCTGGGGCGCCCCCTTGGCATCCAAGGAGGGAGAGAACCTCTGCCAAGGCTGGCCACTGCCCACTGTCTTGGGACAAGTTGTGGCTGGTCCCCAGCAGAGGCCTGCTTCTGGGAAAGCCACGGGGGCCACGCCTGCCACAGGCTGATGCTCCACGAAACCGTGGGTGCCTCGGGGGAGGGGCAGAACCTCCCCCATCCCACTGCCCACGGCCGGGTCAGCCCTGGCGCTACCCGCTACTCCTGGGGGATGGGCGTGTTGCAGTTCCCGTGGTAGATCTTGACGTGGCCATCGCACCGGTAGTACTGGTCGAAGACCTCGCTGTAGCCGTGGTCGCGCCACCAGGTGCACAGCTGACGGTTCCAGGTGCAGTCCAGGGTGTGGAAGAGCTCAGGGTGCTCCATGCCCGCCAGCGTGAAGAAGTCCTGGTCGCCCAGGTGGCCCCGGAAGTGGAACTTCTCCGCCAGCCGCCGCACGGCCGCGGCCTCCAGCAGGCCGTTGTAGAGGTCCGAGTGGCGCATGGCCTCCAGGTTCAGCAGGAGGACCCCGCTGTTGAATGCCCCCCCAACCAGGGGCTGAGGAGTCACAAGTTTTCCTGGGTTGCAGGACAAAGACAGACGACCCATCCATGGCATC